GTTTTAGTGGGGGTTTTGTATGGGGTGTTTTTAGAACAGGCCTGTCATTTAATTTGATTTTAGCATAGAAATTATTTATTTATTATTGTGGTTTTTAGTATCGCCTGTTCACCGCCCTGAGTCCCGTAAGGGAGATAGGGCGGTATATAAATTTAATAAATAAATAAATAAATAAATAAATAAATAAATAAATAAATAATAATAATAATAATAATAATAATAATAATAATAATAACAACAACAACAACAACAACAACAACTTCTAATCTTGTGATCAGAGAGGCTGGCTGCTGTGTTCAACCATGGCACAATTCTTGGCTATTCAAGGTTGTTAATAAATGATATGTGGATGTCTGCTAAGCAATTCTGGCAGCTGAGGCCACACATCTTAAAATTGTCAGGTTGAGAAACACTGATTTGGGGACATCTGCAAAGGGGAAAGCAGGACATGGGCCTGAGGTACTATTTGCTCCATGTTAAATTTAATAAAATTTAATAAAATGAAATTGCTGGTATCCTAGACAATGGAGGACTCAGAAAGACCATGATTCATAGGGTCAAGAAAGTTGTAAGAGCAGAGCACTGGAGGGGAGAAAGAGAAGATGGCAGATATACAGAATAGAATACAGAATAGAGTAGAGCTGGAAGGGACCTCGGAGGTCTTCTAGTCCAGCCCCCTGCCCAAGCAGGAGAACTTATACCATTTCAGACAAGTGACTGTCTAGTCTCTTCTTAAAAATTTCCAGTGATGGAGCGCCCACAATTGCTGAAGGCAAATTGTTCCACTGATTAATTGTTCTCACTGTTAGGAAGTTTTAATGTTTCATATTGTTGCTTTTACTGATTGTAAGTTGCCTAGAGTTGCTTTTAGTGAGATGGGTGGCATCTGAAGAAAAAAGAAAAGAAAAAAGAAAGAAAGAAAGAAAGAAAGAAAGAAAGAAAGAAAGAAAGAAGGAAGGAAGGAAGGAAGGAAGGAAGGAAGGAAGGAAGGAAGGAAAGAAGGAAGGAAGGAAGGAAGGAAGGCAAAGAGGAATCATAAGAGAGCTGGAAGGGAGGTCTTCTAGTCCACCCCCCCCCCCGCTTAAGCAGGAGAACCTATACCATCTCAGATAAGTAACTGTCCAGTCTCTTCTTAAAAACCTCCAGTGATGGAGCACCCACGATTTCTGGGGGTAAGCTGTTCCACTGGTCAATTGTACTCACTGTTAGGGGATTGAAGCAGTCCAGAATCAATTCCCAAAGAGAGATCAAAATCAGGAGGGGCCAACTTGTCAATAGCAAATACTTACCAACTTCCCCATCTTTGGTTCTCCTATCACATGCAAAGATTGCAGCTCCAGGTCTCCCTCAACCCTAATTTCCCGCGTGTTTTGCGGTGGGTTTCTGTGTCCAAAGGTACAATATAGTTTCCTGTTCACCAGAATCTATCACAGGGCAAAGCCGAGGGGTTCAAGTCTCATTTGGGATCATCCATTGTCTTTGCAGAAAAAAACCTGTTTATTCTTGCCAGGAACACATCCCACCCCAAAGCTGAGCGAGTAGCGATAGAGGGGGTCAAACAAGTCAAAATGTGTACATGTAAAAAGGGACAGGCCTTTGTTTCACTAATAACCTTTTTCCCTCCTAGACCAGGGGTAGGCAACCTTGGCTCTTTTATGACTGGTGGACTTCAATTCCCAGAATTCCTGAGCCAGCCATGCTGAGGGGAAAGGGAGAGGTTTCTAAGCTGAGCCATGCTGGCTCAGGAATTCTGGGAGTTGAAGTCTACGAGTCATAAAAGAGCCAAGGTTGCCTACCCCTGGTCTAGGCCAAAATGTTTTCCCTTCAGCCACAGATTTTCCTCATCCTGCCCTAATGGTGCAATGGTCAGAATGCAGTGTTGATCCTGACTGGCTCAAGGTTGATTCAGCCTTCCATCCTCCTGAGGTCGGTAAAATGAGGACCCAGATTGTTGGGGGGGCAATATGCTGACTCTGTAGCTTAGAGAGGGCTTTAAAGTATTACACAGTGGTATATAAGTCTAAGTGCTATTGCTATTGCAATATGGTGACCGTTTGCGGTTACTACAATGATGAAATAGTAACTTTGAGACCAATCCTGACATTTACAACCTTCAAAGTCTGATTATAAACACAGTAATGTTTGCACTCAGTGAACTACATCACTTAATGACTAAGTTGCTGGTCCCAGTTGTTGTTAAACGAGGACTACCTGTACATCGCTACACCACCTAATAGGGGTGTATTACTACTATTCTTCTCATCTTTCATATTACCTATTTCCTTATCTTATTTTGACTATAACTTTGTTGTTCATATCATGGTTTATGTTGATTGTTTTTACTAGTATTCTTGTATGATTTATATTGATTGTTTATTTAGTATCCTATGACTATCACTAAGTGTTGTATCTTATGATTTATGATGATTGTATTTTATGGTTATGATCATGATTTATCACTTGTTGCTTATATGTACACTGAGAACTTATGCACCAGAGACAAACTGTGTATCCAATCACACTTGGACAATATAAAATTTCTATTCTATTCTATTCTATTCTATTCTATTCTATTCTATTCTATTCTATTCTATTCTATTCTATTCTATTCTACTCTACTCTACTCTACTCTACTCTACTCTACTCTACTCTATTCTTCCATTCCCTATTCTATTCTATTCTATTCTATTCTATTCTATTCTGTTCTGTTCTGTTCTGTTCTGTTCTGTTCTGCTCTGCTCTGCTCTGCTCTGCTCTGCTCTGCTCTGCTCTGTTCTGCTCTGCTCTGCTCTGCTCTGCTCTATTCTTAAATCCAATCTGGAAGATATGAAGTTGGGAAAGTCAGTGTTAAATACATTCATGGTCCATTACATAGAAACGGTGAATTCTGGGGGAGGGGGGAATGAAGGGGCACCTAAAGTCCCAAAGGAGCTTCTATCATGTGTACCAACCTGGTATCCAGTATTATTGACAATGAAGATGATTTCAAATTTCTCACCCTTTCGGAAGGGCATCTTGTGATGTTCTGCCTTTCCCCACTTCCCATCCCAAAATGTGTTGAGCACAGTTTTGTCAATATCAAACTGAGGACTGAAGTGGAAGGTAACGTCTGCCCCCTCGTGATGGCAACAGGCAAAGTACACACAGAATCTGGAGAAAAGAAGAGGAAAATTAAATAAGAGGTGAAGGAATCCCAGAGTGGAGTTCTGCTCCCCCCCCCGCCGCCGCCCTTTTGCTTTGTGTTGAAGCTAGAATCTGTAGAATACTAGATTTTTGCTTGAAGAGAAGAGCCAAGTCCCTAGCCCTCATGGCTTAGTTGTTGGAAGAAGCAGGAAGTGGGACTCTCTGAAGAATTAAGAAAGGCTTTACTCTTGGTAGAGAATTTGGGTTATATAAACTGCCCTTTGAAACTAAAAATTAAGAAAACCAAAATCATGGCATCTGGCCCTCTCAATTCCTGGCAAATAGATGGGGAAGAAATGGAGGTAGTGACAGATTTTATTTTCCTGGGCTCCAAGATCACCTCAGATGGGGACTGCAGCCAAGAAATTAAAAGACGCTTGCTCCTGGGGAGGAAAGCTATGGCAAATCTAGACAGCGTACTAAAAAGCAGAGGCATCACCCTGCCAACAAAAGTGCGTATAGTCAAGGCCATGGTTTTCCCAGTTGCAATGTATGGATGTGAAAGATGGACCATAAGAAAGGCTGGGCGCCAAAGAATGGAGGCCTTTGAACTATGGTGCTGGAGAAGACTCCTGCGAGTCCCTTGGACTGCAAGGCGTTCAAACCGGTCAGTTCTAGAAGAGATCAACCCCGACTGCTCTTTAGAAGGCCAGATCCTGAAGTTGAAACTCAAATACTTTGGCCACCTAATGAGAAGGAAGGACTCACTGGAGAAGAGCCTAATGCTGGGAAAGATTGAGGGCAATAGAAGAAGGGGATGACAGAGAAGGAGATGGCTGGATGGAGTCACTGAAGCAGTAGGCATGAGCTTAAAGGGACTCCAGAAGATGGTAGAGGACAGGAAGATCTGGAGGAACATTGTCCATGGGGTTGCGATGGGTCGGACATGACTTCGCAATTAACAACAACAACAACAACAACAACAACAACAAACTGCTCTTAACAACATGATAACCTTATTACTTTTATTCTGGCTAAGGAAACACCTTGCTCTTACTGTGAGCCCCAAAAAGAACGTTACCTTTTGACATGTTTGGGCACTGTGCCTTGCACATATATAGACATCCCAGTATGGAGTCCACCAGGGACAGAATGATGGTAAGGGAGAGTCTGAAAGACAGAAAATGATGAACCAAATCAATGACTTTACTGCAAAACACAACTTTGGCTTTCAAACCAGCCAACTGAAACTCATGCCTTGTATCAGCCTTTTCATGGGGCTTCAGAGTCAAACAAAGACCTCCAGAGAGGGCCTCTGCTAAGGATTAACCCCCCCCAACATGGCAGGGGAAGGAAGGTGTGGAAGAAGCAGCAGAATTGCAGCCACAGACTCATTCTGCTTCGTGAATGATCAGGGATTGAGCCAGACTTGCTGGACTCAGCCACAGAACAATAGAAATAGAAAGACAATATAAATAGTTTAAGAATAGGTAAATGACAATAAATTAGAATTGCTGGAGAGGCTGTAGCAGGAGAACCAGGTTAGCTTCCTTTTGTAGGATAAGGAATGCTCCAACACTGGAGGTTTTTAAGAAGAGACTGGACACCCATTTGTCTGAAATGGTATAGGGTTTCCTGCCTGAGCAGGGGGTTGGACTAGAAGACCTCCAAGATCCCTTCCAACTCTGTTATTCTCTTATTCTGAGTGGCAGAATCTGGGAATGGAGTTAAAAGAGGAATCAGCCTAGAATTGCTATGTAGCCATAAGCAGACTAAGTCCAAACCCATTTAAATTCTGTTGAACTTTAACTAACTCCAAGCAAGTGCTGACTGTTGGTTGAGAATATTCCTGTGCGTAGGCATGAATTTAAATTGGTTTAACTGAATTTTTACATGTGACCTTGATCTTTCACGCCTGACAGATACAGAAAGAATTTGTTCTAATCTGATATGATAACCATCAATAATAATAATAATAATAATAATAATAATAATAATGATGATGATGATGATGATGATGATGATGATGATGATGATGATGATGATGATGATGATGATGATGATGATGATAAAGTTGGAAGGGACCTTGGAGGTCATCTAGTCCAACCTCCTGCTCAGGCAGGAAACCCTATACCATTTCGGACAAATGGCTGTCCAGTTTCTTCTTAAAAACTTCCAGTGTTGGAGCATTCACCGCTTCTGGAGGCAGGTTTTTCCACTGGTTAATTGTTCTAACTGTCAGGAAGTTTCTCCTTAGTTCTATGTTGCTTCTCTCTTTGGTTAATTTATATCCGTTGCTTCTTGTCCTGCCTTTAGGTGCTTTGGAGAATAGCTTGACTCCCTCTTCTTTGGGGTAGCCCCTGAGATATTGGAACACTGCTATCATGTCCCCCCTCGTCCTTCTCTTCGTTAAACTAGACAGACCCAATTCCAGCAGCCGTTCCTTATATGCTTTAGCCTCCAATCCCCTAATCATCTTTGTTGCTCTTCTCTGCACTCTTTCTAGAGTCTCAACATCTTTTTTACATCGTGGTGACCAAAACTGGATGCAGGATTCCAAGTGTGGCCTTACCAAGGCATTCTATGATTGTTGCCATCTTCAATTTTATATACAAATTTCATATTTATCTTTCCTTCCCCAGATAGAAATGTGCTGTACTTGTGTTAACAGGGTCTGATTCCTTTCACATTCAAACCAAATAACTGAAAAACAGTAATAAGCATGTGACAGTATAATCACATAAATTATGAAATTAGTTCCTTGCTGACACAATTCACCGCAACTTAGCAGGCACCATCATACACATTTCATGCCTTGCCATTTTTCCCATATGGGCATCCTTAGCAGAGATCTAAATCCTTCATTAAATTCCTTCTTTGCCTTCATTTGTGAGATATAAATCCACCCCATTTGTTGCTCAGTCCCCAGGGGAACCTTGACCCCAATTTGACTACTGGATCTATTTTTGAGGGGTCAGATATTGGAAAGAAATGTAAAAACTGGCCAAATATTTTGGTTCTTTCTGTTAGCATCCAGGCTCCTCTCTCCCTTCCTGTTGTGATGATGCTCTGGAGATGCTTCTAGTGAAGGAAGAAGGAAGATAAGAGGGTTTCAGATGGAAGAAGAGTATGAAAGAAAGGAATATCCAAAATTAAACAACAGCTACTTACCTTTTTCCTCTTTTCATCATTTCCATTCTAAAATGGAAGCAAAAAGATACCTTTATGATTATGATGTGGTATGTATCCTATGAGGATTTGTGTGGGTCAGACCTGGGTCACTACAGTTCGTTCAAATCAAGAGTGGGTCCATGAGCATTACAGAGAGTACTAATGTCGGTGGAATGGTTTGAGCAGAGTAGATCAAGCCATTCCAACCAAAAGGAATAGGCAACAGCAACAAACAGACACAGCACTTAACTGCAGTAATCCAAGGAAATGGCTACTTTCCAATAATCTAAAAACACATGACCATGCTATCATTGCCATCTTCAACTTTATATATCAACTAGCTGTACCCGGCCACGTGTTGCTGTGGCTCAGTCTGGTAAAAGCATGTGTTGCTTTTATGTCCAACAGATGGTGCTGTTTTTCAAAAAAAGCATGTTTTTACCTTCACAGGTGTGACATCTATATAATATAGGTATATAAAAACATGCACGTATTCGAATGCAACGTTGTGTCAAAATCTCAAAGCAATCAGTGAAGAACTTTCGGAGATTTAAGATTTTGAATAAATGAACATTTACATTTTTATTTATATAGATATCATATATTTATATTGTTAAATATATTTGTACTTCATTCCTCAGATAGAAAACATGCTATTCCTATCAGAACATAGAATAATAGGAGCCAAAGAGACACACGTTAAGACTGTTCTTTGAGGGTTTCTTTTGTTTTCATCAGCAAAGACTTTGGGGGACTTCTATCAAACAGACATATGATTAATCAGCTTTTGTAAAGAGTTAGGTTTTTTTATACATGTAGCGCCACCAAAAAGGGACCGCTAAAGTCTAGGCCCTCCTGACCTTCTCTTCGGCTTACTGCCAGCCCAAGGGATCTCTCATGTTGGCATCTCTGCCTGACAGGGTACATAGCACGGTGATGCTCAGTCATGGTCGGTAGCCACGCACATGGGGTGGTGATGGTCGATCACTCTCAACGGTAACTCATGTGGAATGATGATAGTTGATCTCAGGCAGAAAGAGCTTACAGGGGGACAATGGTAATTAGTCCTTGGTAACAGCAGCTTGCTTAGGACGATGTTAGCCACTCTCTGGTAACAGCAACTTGTCTATGACGATGGTAGTCAATCTCTGGTGACAGCAACTTGCCTAAGACAATATACTTTGTAATTGGGTAATTGTTACTTCTGTATTCAGACTTGGTTTCACTTTTGACTGTGCCGATACTTTGTAACTAAGAAACATGTTCTTTGAGGAATTCTCAAACCTCGGACTTCTGCTTTATTCGTCTCTGTCTGTTGGAACCATGATGTTTTCTTCTAGGTCAGCGGTCCCAAACATTTCTTTGAACGCTGTAGACCGGTTCCATGGAGAGCGTTTTTTTCATGGACTGGGGTGTGTGTGGTTTCACACACTGCCTGCATCCTGTGTGTGTACGAATGGGGCTTTGCTTGCTTGTGTGGACCAGTTCCTGGTGATCCATGGAGCAGTGTCGGTCTGCAGACTCGGGGTTGGGACCCCTGCTCTAAGCCACCAGGAAGACCTATGAAATTAGAATCTCTCAAATTTTAACAATAGTCATAATGATGCTCTCCTTTAAATAATCAAGAGTTTTTAATTTCTTGGTGGAATTCTTCCTGAAATGTCTGTTAATCCTTGGGGTAGTGGGGGGACTGAGTCTCAAAAGAGCTATTGTGGTCACATCTAAGAAGGATAACATGGAAAACATAGAAGAAATGAGACAAGTTAAGTGCTTATCTACTTACTATCAGTTTAGACAGTCCTTCGCCAACCTCAGCTTTCTTGATAATAGGTGTTATCTTTTTTCTGATTAACTATAAGGAAGAAGAATTATTTTTTTTTCAAGAAGAACAAAGTCAAACTGAGTTTCCAAACATGTTCAGATAAAATTAATCTGGGAAGGGAAATGAGGAAAGAACTCTTACAAGCAAAATTGCATCCGACAGAAAGACCATTTGAGCCAACAATTTACCATTTTGCAGAGAGGAAAAAGTACAAGCAGAGAAAAGTAACTTTGGAGAAACCCTCCCCATCCCAAAAGTGTCCCTTAGGCACAATTCCAAAATACACCTTTCTGTGTTTGCTATTCAGTCCCCAGAGGGACCATCACTCCACTTTGGAGTCAGTGTGGTTTTAAGGAGTATAGTAGTTATTTGAAGCTGCTTTAAAGAGGAGAGTCGAAACAGGTGCAATGTTTTGGCCTTGCCTGCTCTGTTTCTGTTCTGTGGTTTTTCTGAAGATGCTTTTATGAGGTGTGGAATAACAAAAGGGGTGGTTTATTGCATGCAAGAAGAATATTATTCAAAGAAAGCACCGAATAGGAACAAAATGTACTTACCATTAACTCAGGAATATCATTTTGATCTTTATCCATATTCTATAACACAAACAAAAGGTGTTACTTTTATTCTGAAAAGATATCACACATGATTTCTCCAACTATGCCATCACTACAATCTTTGATATCATACATGTGAATCACTTCATTCTACAGAGGAGATACGCACATTTTTTTATCAGAACAGGGCGGAAAAGGTACCCCTGGATGAATTGTGCTCTGAAACACTTTGTTTCATTCTTTTTTCAATATTCTTCCACTTTCACACAACCAAAATCTGCCCGGAGAATTCAGTGGAATAATGCATGTATTCGATTTCTATTTCAAAAAATAAAATGCTTGCTGACAAAAAAATCTGTTAATAGAGATCAAGGAGAGAAGCAACCTAGAACTAAGGAGAAACTTCCTGAACAATTAACAATTGTTAGAACAATTAACCAATGGAACAACCTGCCTCCAGAAGCGGTGAATGCTCTAACACTGGAAGTTTTTAAGAAGAGACTGGACAGCCATTTGTCAGAAATGGTGTAAGGTTCCTGTCTGAGCAAGGGGTTGGACTCGATGACCTCAAAGGTCCCTTCCAACTTTATTATTATTATTATTATTATTATTATTATTATTATTATTATTATTATTATTATTATTATTATTATTATTGCCTAGAGACAGCATAATAGACGAGAAAGAACTGGAGAAGATAACAAAATACAAAGACCTACAAATAGAAATAGAAAGACTGTGGCAAAAGCAAGCAAGGATAGTACCAATAGTAATAGGCGCCTTGGGTGCAATCCCAAAACAACTGGAGCACCACTTGAACACCACTGGCATTGACAAATTCGCCATTAGTCAATTGCAAAAGGCGGCCTTACTAGGAACTGCTTCCATCCTGTGACGATATCTGTAATACCATCAAACATCCACGTCTGCCTATCCCAGGTCCGTGGTAAGGACTCGATAGGTAGATAAAAGGCCAAATCCAGTCAGAACATCTGGCTGACTGTGCGATGATCCATAATAATAATAATAATAATAATAATAATAATAATAATAATAATAATAATAATAATAATAATAATAATAATAATAATAATAATAATAATAATAATGTTGGAAGGATCTTGGAGGTCTTCTAGTCCAATTCCTTGCTCGGGCAGGAAACCCTATACCATTTCAGACAAAGGGCTGTCCAGTCTCTTCTTCAAAACTTCCAGTGTTGGAGCATTTATAACTTCTGGAGACAGGTTGTTCCACTGGTTAATTGTTCTAACTGTCAGGAAATTTCTCCTTGGTTCTTGGTTGCTTCTCTCCTTGATTAGTTTCCATCCATTGCTTCTTGTCCTGCCTTCAGGTGCTTTGGAGAATAGCTTGACTCCCCTCCCTTCTTTGTGGGAGCCCTTCAAATATCGGAAGACTGCTATCATGTCCCCCCTCATCCTTCTCTTCATTAAACTAGACATACCCAATTCCAGCAAACGTTCCTTATATGTTTTAGCCTCCAGTCCCCTGATCCTCTTTGTTGCTCTTCTCTGTGCTCTTTCTAGAGTCTCAACATCTATCTCAACATCTCAATTTCACTCAGGAAAAAGGCAGAAGATAAACAAAAAGCTACTTACCATTAATATAACAATTTCCCCTCCTTTCAAAGCATTCTACAAAGGAAACAAGTACATCAAATTCCATTCTGACATGAAGACATGCAGAACCTCTCTATCCCTGCTACCACCACCATCTTAGATATCATTTACATGCTGCTTCCCTCCACCTAGGAAACACATATTTCTTATCACAACATGGAGTGCTTAGTCTAAAAAAACCAAATTTGAATTAACAGTGTTCAGGGTCTTCTTTTTCTTTCTCTTTTCAATTTTTTTCAACTTTTGTGGAACCAAAATATGTACTGAGAAATGTGAAAAACAAGGGTTGTACCTATACATACACAGATTAGATTGCTTAGAAAACAGGAACTTTATCAGACATAGCACATGGGGCATAACACTGTTTGAAGAACATTGCTGTAAATGTTCACATTTCTAGATTCACTTTAGTTATATATATATAAAGCTTGTTTCAATATAGTTTCTGAATATTTCGTTATCAAACTAGCTAACATCATAAGCAGGATTTTCTTGTCCTATTCTCCTTAGCTTACAAATGTCTTGTGCGCCAGTGTGGTCAGTAGGTTGTGTGATTGGTTGTTTGTTAGGAGCTATATTTAAATTCTGAGCAGCTGATTGGTTCTCTTGTTGATTGGCAGTTCGAATGGTCTGGTTTCTTACATATTCATATGCTGGATCTAGATCAATATCAATCAAAGACAAAATACAGAAAGAAGACAACAGCAACATAATATACAAAATCATTTGCAACAATTGTAACCAATTCTATGTGGGACAAACAGGAAGGCAATTGAAAACACGGGTTCATGAACATCAACTAGCAGTTAAACGGAATGACCAAAAATCCCTGATCTCAAACCACATTGATAATAAACAACACCAGTTCGATTGGGAAGGAATAAAAATCATTGGGCATGCCAACACCCGCCATACATGTGAATTTATCGAGGAACAATGAACAAGCATATTGATCTAGATCCAGCATATGAATATGTAAGAAACCAGACCATTTGAATGACTAATCAACAAGAGAACCAATCAGCTGCTCAGAATTCAAATATAGCTCCATACAAACAACCAATCGCACGACCAACTGACCGCACGGGCACACAAGACATTTATAAACTAAGGAGAATAGGACAAGAAAAACCTGCTGATGATGTTAGCTAGTTTGGTAGCGAAATGTTCAGAAACTATATTGAAACAAGCTTGGAGAGCAAACCACTGCCAAAATCTAAAACCCAAGCTACAAGTATTTTCTTTATATCTATATACATAAAACATCCTTATGATAGAATGTTAGCTTTTTATTCTGCTTCATGTAGCCTCTCCTCGGTTCTACCTCTTTGCCTCTTCCTCCTCTAAGTGCAAATGTGCTCTTGATTTTCAGTGTAGTCATGTGAGGAAAAGGGACTACTGAAATCCCACAATCACATCTCATTTCTTCTTCCAGCTGCTACAAGAACATCAGCTCAGATTCAGAGTATTTTCTGGTCAGAAAAAGGTTCAAAAAAGATTTGGTCATCCTGACTCCTAAAACCCTTATTTAACTACTCAACACACCACCACCCACCCGACAAATTTTAAGAATGGGTGGGAAGTGTGCAATGGTTCCCGTGGGAACCAAGGTCATTGGCTGCCTAGAGACTGGGTGTTGCATCAAAAGCCTGCAAAATAATCATATTGGGGAATGTAGTTGCTTGCATAGTAAATTGGGTAGGATGTTTGGCTTTGTATTGGGAAATTGTTACTTGTATATCCAGACTTGGTTTCACCTTTGACTGTGCCGATACTTTGTAACTAATAAACATGTTCTTTGAGGAATTTGCAAGCCTCGGAGTTTTGCTTTATTCGTCTCTGCTGTCGGAACCATGACAGGTTGCTTGATCGCACGCAAGAAAGATATTTCACAAGGAAAGGGAGAAGATGGTGAAAGGGCTACTTACAATTATTTCCAACATATGTTCCTCACTCAGTTTATTCTACAATGGAAACAAAGGACATGAACTCTATTCTCACACGAGAACATACATGATTTCCCCAGCTATGCTATCTCTGCCATTTCATATCTTATAAAATTGAATTTCTTCATTCTTCCAGAGAGCAAACATACATTACTTATTACAGCAGGAAATGATCTGGGACCAAAAAGACAAACATGAATTAACAGCATCCTGAGGCCCTTTATTCTATTCTTTCTCTTTTCAGACTGCTTCCACATTCACACAACTACAATATGTACAGAGAAATAGTTCTCACAGGGACATTCATGTCAAAGATCAACATTTTTTATTTAGCACTCAGTCCCAAAAGAAACTTCTGTCCAAAAAATCGGGTATCACAGCAATTGGATAAAATATTGACAGGCAAGGAAGAAATTGTTTTAACAAAAACCTACAAACATTTACTAGAGGTAGAATTGGAAGAAGAAATAGTAAAAGGTCCAGTGATAGCATGGGCATGAAATATAGGCCAAAATATAGAATTAGAAGAATGAGAAAGAGTATGGAACAAAAATTGCAAATTAACACTGTCAACTGCATATAAAGAAAACCAATATAAAATATTCTATAGATGGCATTTAACACCGGCAAGATTGGCTAAGATATACAAAAATATGAATCCGGGCTGTTGGAAGTGTAAAAACAAAGAGGGAACATTTTATCACATGTGGTGGCAATGCCCCAAAGCAAAAATTTATTGGGAGCAGATAAGGAGATGGATACAGGAAATAACAAAAGAACAAATTGAACTTAAACCCAAACTATTTTTATTAGGTATAATTAATCCAAAGATGAAAAAACAACTCCAATACATCATTGTACACATAATAACAGCTGCACGCATTGCATATGCACAATGTTGGAAATGCGAAAATATACCAACAAATGACATGATTATTCACAAGATATTGGAATGCGCTGAGATGTATAAACTTACTTTAGAAATAAAAGACAAGGAAGCAACAGAATTTTATGAGATATGGGACAAATGTTACAATTGGTTAGAACTGAGGAATAAAAAAGTATGAGAAGTAATGTAAATAATTGTAAATATATGTAAGAGATATAGGACACAGTACTTTTAAGGAAAAAAATGTGTATTTTGTATTTTGTTTTTTGTAAAGTGAAAAAGGAAAAATAAAAATAAAAAAAATGTAAAGATGCTTGTTCAGAGGCAAGAAGAAATTAAAGAAAAAAACGGAAGAAGGTAAATCAAAGCTACTTACCACCAATTCAGCCAGAAAACCTTGTCTGACGAATGCCTTCTACAAAGGAAATGAAGGGGGATCAGTTCTATTCTGATAAGGTAACTGTCAATAACTATATCATCACAGATAACTCCAATACTTCAATATCAACTTCATCTATATTTTTCATTCTCCAGGTAGGAACTGTGCCTTTTTTAAGCACAAATGGA